TGTAAACACGGGGTTCTTGCTAATGCTCGAGTACCATGCGCTGATAAAGTCGCGAATGATGAACTCGAGGAGCTCGTCGAGGGCGGCGGATAGCTTGGGGGACTCGGGGCAGAGCGGCGTCTTGGTGTAGGTCTGGCGCTGTCGCAGGGCAGCGACCTCGGTCTTCCATGTCTGGGGCGCGAGAAAGGCGGCAGCTTTCGGGCGGGCTGTTCGGCGGAGCTGGCGATGCTGCGGACCGCGGGAGGTGAGCACGACGAGAGCGGCGAGGGCGGCCAGGGTCAACAGCACACCGCCGATGAATACGCGGACGGTCCAGCGCAGCGTGGGGATGCAATTGACGGCATATCCAAAGCACGCGACGCCCGCGAGTGCTACGTGTAGCCTTTGAGGGGCCGTCACCGATGGAGCTCAAGCTCACATGTCAAGGGATCCAAGGCAACGATGTTAACCCTAACCCTGGTTTGACTACCTCTTATGGTCAATGTCTACACAAATAGTGTATCCGGACGGGAATCAAATAATCAAATAAAGATCTGTACAAGCATTATAATATTCTTTCAACCACACTAGGACAACGACGGTGGTTTCATCACTACGTTGAGTGGGCGAGTTCAGATGAAAGACGGGCCTGGAACATGGGGAAACGGGAAGCTTGGCATCTCCAACCCCACCAAAGCTTTACTTCACTCTCAACCACTCCATCTCATCCAATCCCCAGTTCTCACCCCCACCCTAACAATCACAATGGCAACCCCTTCCCTTCCCCCGAATACTCCTTCCCCCTTCTTCACCCGCCAAACCAACCTCACCACCCAACACGCCCAGCTCACAAAATGGTCCTCCTCGTCCTCGCCTACTGCCGCCACCACCGTATTTTCAAGCTCTCTCTCTCCGGCAACCCCACCACCACCAACCCCCACCACCCCATCCCCGTCCCCCAATTCCAATACTGCCATCGACACCACCGAACTCTTTCACAACCGCTCTATTAACCGCCGCCTCTCCTGCACGACATCCGCGCCGTGATCGACTTCCTTCGCAAAGACGGTCGCGCAGAGTACATTTCCACCAGCAGCACATCCTCCTCCTCTGGTGACACAGACGGTGGGGAGGAGGGGATGTAGCATGGATATTCTGGCGCACGCCCGAGGAGTGGGCGACACTGGTGGAGGCGTGGGTGGATGAGACGGGGCAGAGGGGGTGTTGACGGTTTATGAGTTGGTTGAGGAGGGGACGAGGAGCTGGTAAGTTGGTGTTTTTGTCCCTTTTGGGGGTTGGTTTGGGGCGAGTGGGTTGGTGCTGTTGGTGGTTGAATGGATGAGCTGACTGAACGTGTGTAGAGTTTAATGGGCTGGATCAGGACCTCCTCCTCAAGGCGCTACAGGTCCTGGTGAAGAGGGGCAAGGCACAGGTCTTTGGACAAGAGGACTCACGGGGCGTAAAGTTCTTCTGATCTGATCTGACTACGATACCTTGCCGAATTCCTACGTTAGATGACAATATGCCCGCCACCCCAACTCACTCCTCCGGGCCCGAACAAGACTCGAACAGCTGCTAAAACAAACGCCATGCAACAACACCCGCCCCCAAAACGCCCAGCCACCACCTCACGCCCGACTCCCCATACCATACTTCGGGTCAAATACCAGCTCCTGCTTCATCGCCACATCCAGCAGCCAATCTGACACGACAATCCTCGGCTCCATATGCCCCTTGCGCGCCATCTCCTCAAATTTGGGCCACAGCTGCCTCTCCGCCGGCGACGACCCCGTCAGGAGATACACCGGGTCTGGCTCCGCGCCCCCATCCTCCTCCACTGTGGTCGGCTTAATCGTCGTCCCGCTCCTCGCCCGGTAAACCTTAAAAATAGCCCCATTCGCCTCGGCAATATTTTTGTACGCATCCACACCATTCGGAATCTCAGCCGTACAATAAACCGGCACGCCGCGCAGCAGACGGCCGCGGTTGGCGCGGGCGCGGCCGACGGCCTTGTCGATGGTGACGCCGAAGCGCTTCTCGTTGTCCTTGTCGACGAGCAGGTGGTCCCCGATGCGGGGGCGCTTGCCCGTGTCGAGGCAGGCGGTGATGAAGGAGGAGTTGATGACGTCCGGGCCGCGCGCGAGGCATTTGAGGAACTTCTCGGTCCGGACCATACCCGGAGCGGCGAGAAAGTTGCACGGCTGGTTCTCCTGCACGATCTGGACGCCGAGGGAGCGGAGCTTTCTCTGTAGATAGGTTAGCAACCGCGCCAGCAGTTCAGACTCTGTGAAGCTTACCCGGTCCGCCTCCTCCTTGTTCTTATCCCCAACCCATCTCTTGTATCCCGTCAAGCAGACGCGCATGTCCACGTCAGGAAGTGAGGTCTTCGCCCTCTTGGTCGGCCGCTTAGTCTCCTGCTCCTCTTCCACCTCCTCCTCAACAACCTTGCCCATTGGACTCGAACTCCTATCCCCGCGCTCCTTATCAAGTTGGTCCGCCGCGCGCTTGCCGCCCCAAATCCCATGTCCGTCCTTCGCCGTCCGCTTCTTCTCCTTCTCATACAGCGCAATATCCGGCGCCAGATCTTGAAGCTTCGACAGCGCCTGCGCCTTGGCACTGCGGCTGGCGCTGGACACGACCGACGGCGTCTCGTTCTCCTTGCCGGAGCGGACATGGCGGCCCTTGGCGGGCGTCGCAAAGTTGCCCAGTGCGGGCGTAGCCTTCGAGGTCTTCCTCACCGACTTCGCCGCTGGTTGTGGTGGTGGCGCCGGGCTCGAGTCCTGCATCACGCTGAAATCGCGGTCAAGACCCACGTTGTAGGCGTTCTTCTGCGCGCGCTCGCTGATCCTCTTCTTGGTCTTGGCCGCCTCATCCATGTGCTCCTCGCCGCCGGGGTAGAACATTTCCCGCAGCCGGGGCTCCTCGAGGAAAGTGTGGCCAATAACCTCGCCAAGGTTCGTCCGCAGCGGGAAGTGCCGATACCTTTCGTTGTTGAGCGTGAGGGCTTTGCATGCAGCGTAGCTTTCCTCGATCCAGAGGTGGTTGATGATCTCGATGTTCCAGTCTTTGGCGGCTTCGCACTTCTCACTGTGCATGCGGGCGGTGATGAGATGGGTGTTTTCGGCTTTCATCGTCCGGGTGTAGGTGGCCCCGGCGGCTGTGATGAGGTTCTCCAGGTAAATTCGGGCTTCGCCGCCGTAGTTGGACAGGGTGATTTTCATGTCCTTGAACCCGGGGATGCCATTCCGAGGCACTGGGTAATGGAGCAGCCGCTGTAAGGGGGATGTCCACTCGTTGTACACCATGATGTGGTACAGCCATGCCAAATTGCCGACATCCTTCCCTTGCTGCGCAGCGCGAACGTACTGTGTGCCGTCTCGGAACTGGCAGATGAATATATCGCACTCGTCAACTTCGTCGACAACCTCTCCGTTGCTTTTCGCGATTTTGTCTGTGATCGTCTTGCGCAGCATCTGGTTGATGTTGAGGTCCCAGGAGAGCATGACCCTCTTCTGTGCGAATACGGTGAGTCGCTGGTTGCCCTCGGTATCGTACGGCCCGGTCGGCACTGCTGATATTGCGCCTTGGAGTTTCTGGCTGGCGGGGATGTTGACGGGCTCTTCTGGCGCCTTTAGCAGGATCTCGGGGTTGGGCAGAAGATATGGGCCTTCGTCAATCCTCTTCCCCAGGCGGAAGCAGTCATCGAACCTAATACCAGTGAGTACCCCATGAAAGACTAGATTGCGAAAGCCACCCACCAGTGGGGAAGAACAATCTTGCACTTCAAATTCTTCCTCTCCGCCTCCAGGCACTTCGGGTGCTCCAAAGACAACGCGCAGATATGTGTTGTCTGCCGCGACAAATCCTTCGATTCCATCCCACCAAGCGCCATAATCGCACCAATAATCGACTCCTTGTCGCAGGGCGGAATATCGGCACAGGTGAGGACGACGCTGGAGAAAATCATCCTGGGGTCTGGGGAGTAGGGCCGGACCTGGGCGATCTTGGTGCGGGCGATGGTGGCCTTGATCCAGTCGGACCTAACGACGGGGATCATCATGGCCTGCGACTCGATGTACTGCTCAAAGTCGATCGAGTTCGAGACGATGTGGGTGGCCTGCGCAAGGCGGATCTTGCCCTTGCGATCGGGCTCCAGGACCTCGGCGCCATGGTCGCTGACGATCTGGGACAGCTAGGAGGATGTGTTGTCAGCAACAGTTCAAGGTTGAATTGTCGAGTCTGTCCGCACCTGTTGCAATCACTGAGCTAGACAATGCCTTGCCCTGGACGAAGGCAATCCGGCAGGACTGGAGGAGACCCGGTTTTCCAGTTTGTTCCGCCATTTTCGAAGACAAACGGGAGAGCGACGCGCTTGGAAACACGCGTTTACATCCAGCTGGGCGAGGCTTGAAGCGATAAAAAGGTCAGGTGGCAATGTCTGGCGGACGTTTGAATTGTTGAGGTTAGCCTCTCTGCTGACAGACACGGTTCCAAAGTGCAGCTTGTCCAAACTCTTGCACTGGGAGGCAGCAGCAGCTATCACGGTAGGGAAGACGCACCTCAAAAAAGGGCAGTGGAGCGCATCTCAGCGACGCGAGGCAGCCGCGTCTCACATGACCCAGCCCATTTAACTCATCCCATCCCTGGCTCGCGGGTGTGGAGCCGTCCCATCTCTCAAACTTCCAAGGGTCTCGAGGGTCTCACAACACACCCCTCTCCCTCTCAAGAGTCAAGAGCAATTGGCAAATCATCTGCCCCCCCTGATCACACCAATTGGTGTGCTGATAAATTGAGTTTATGGACTGACGCATCGAGCTGCAGGTTTTGTCTCGCACAGCGGTGCCTCCGTACGCGGCTGCAGGGTTGACTCACAACCCCCGCCATGTGAAGCAACAGGAAGTGACAGCAGTGAGTGAACAGTGGCAAAAAGGGAGTTGAAGCCGTTCCTGATGACAATTAAGCAGAATGAAAACAAAAAGACACCGTCTGCTTAGAGATGGCAGCCAAAAGAGAAACTCATATGATCGAATCCAGGTTTGAACTGGAGACCTTCAGTGTGTTAGACTGACGTGATGACCAACTACACCATTCGACCAATCAGAAGCCGTTGTTGCTTCAAATTGAAAATAGGCTTTTTCATCTCATGTTTGGGCCCCACTTTTCGTGACTTTCGGCTCTCTGCAGCCCATCATTGAGAGTTCACTGTTGGAGTTACTCTTTGGGAATTTGAGGCAGCCGTTATGAAGTAAGGAAAGCGGAAATTTTGTGACTGGCAGCAGACGGGATTCTGAGCAATCAAGTGTTGCATTGCCAGTTCTGGCGAGAGCGGAACTGTCGCAAGAGAGAGGAGGTGGATGGCGGAAGCATATTCTCTCGAAGCGGGTGAGATATGCGTTCTTGAGATGCATCATTTAGATTCAAGGTTTCAGCTGAGAGGAGCATTTGTCAGGATTTTAACCCATGCGTTCCAGCGCCATATTGTCACCTCAATCCTTCTAAACTACTCTGTCGGCTGAAAGTTTGCTGTTTCAGGGCCAATACAAACTCAGTGCACCACTTCACACACACGGCTCAGTCGAGTGTAGATCAACGCTAAGTATACTCCTGCCTGGTCTATGCTCCTCAAACCTCGAGGAATGTGTGCAGCCCAACGGCCTGCTAGACCGAGCCTTAAGAGTCGCAGCAGATATGTACATCAAGTCATATTATGTTGACCAGACAAAAGCCAGGTATATCTAGACGGCTCATCAAAAGCATTACGGGCGTGGGTAACCGAATCTCCATGTCTAAGGTGGTAACCGAAGTTCGAACCATCTTCCCCATTTTTGCGCCCCTCCCCTCACGCTTCACACTCCTCCTCACCACCGACGGGGAAAGCAGTGCAACTCCGCAGGTCTCTATTTCATTGCGCCAATTGAACCAGTCGCAGTCCCTTTCGCTAAAATGTGCAAATTCACCCAGGTCTAATAATCCTCAAAACTAAAGGGAGGAAAGTCGTGCTGGGGTCGGTCCTCCGTGCACGACCATGCTGTGGGGGTATCTAATGTCGTCCAACCTTACTCCTTGACGGCGTAGAAGCGCTTGAACATGTCGTCAATCTTCTCGAGGTAGTAGGTGCCGGGGGCAATGGTCGAGACATCACCCTTGGGGACGAAATCCTTCTTAAGGTGGGCCTGGTGGCGGAGCTCGCACATCTGAAGCGTCTGTTAGTAAAGGAGCCGTTAACTCGTTCTGTCTCGTGGGTAGCTTACAGCATCGTAGGTCTCGGGAGGCACGACCTGACGGGCGTTCATCCTGTTATCAAGGTTCAGGACCTTGCGCATCTTCTCGGTGCTGCCGTTGACGCGCATCGAGAAGAAGCTGGCAGCCAGACCGGAGCCGTAGCTGAACAGGCCTATCCTCTTGCCGGTAAAGCTGGCATCGTCGATGTAGGAGATGAGACTGGCCAGACCGCCATAGACGCTGGCGCAGTACATGTTGCCGCAGTTGGTAGCGACCTGGATGCTGGGGTTGACGCGCTCCTGGAAGCGCTTCTTGGAGAGACTTGGAGAGACCCATGAAGGCCTTCTCGACGGTCTTGTCGGTCAGGGACTTCTGGTACTCGACGTCGCGCACCTCGGCGGGGACATCGGCGAAGGCCTTGCTCTCGGCATCGGCAAGATAATCGTGGTACAGCAGGCGGCCGTACGACTTGGCGACGAGCTTGCAGGTAGGGGCGTGGAAGGCGAGGTAGTCAAAGCGGTCCAAGGGGGTCTTGGGGACGGCGGGCTCGGCAGCGCCGTTGCCGTTGACGTGGCCGTTGACGCCGTTAGTGCCGTTGGTAACCTTGCTTTGCTGAGCCTCGCGCTTGCAGTAGGCACGGTAGGCAGCATCGAGGGCCTCGGTGTAGCAGGTGAGCGAGAAGTGGCCGTCGACGTAGGGGTACTCGCTGGTAAGGTCGGGCTTGTAGAAATCGTAGGCGTGCTTCATGTAGCTGCCACGAAGACCGGGCTCGAAGACAAGGGGCGCGTCAGGGCCGATCAGCATGGCAACGACACCAGCGCCGCCGGTGGGGCGGGCATTGCCCTTGCCGTAGAGGGCAATATCACCGGCAACGACGATAGCATCCCGGCCATCCCAAGCCGACGACTCGATCCAGTTGATGCTGTTGAAAACGGCGTTGGTGCCACCGTAGCATGCGTTCACTGTGTCAACGCCCTCAACGTTGGTGTTGTCGCCGAAAAGCTGCATCAAAACCGACTTGACGGACTTGGACTTGTCGATAATGGTCTCGGTGCCGACCTCGAGGCGGCCGATCGTGTTCGTGTCGATGTCATAGTTCTTGAGAAGCTTGGACAGCGCGGTCAAGCTCATCGAGTAGATGTCTGCAGTGGTGGGGCCATCCCACGCTCAAATCAGCCCCTGCGCCGACGCAAGACTTGGTGGTGGTTTGCTGGGTTGCATCGGACCCGCCAGCCGCCCGCATGAAGGCCGGTCGGTGGCGGCAGGCATGTGCCACTCCGACGACCCCAGCCCAAAAAAATGCAACGGGGAAATTACTGACCCTCGCGATCATCGCAGAAGCTCATCTTGGTCTGCCCGAGGCCAATCGTGTACTTTCCCCGCGCTGACGCCATCGAACTTCTCGAGCTCAGATTGCTCAACGTACTGTGTAGTTGGGAAACTGTCAGCGATGTCGGCGCGCGAGGGTTGTTGGGATGGTTGGGCCCCAGGGAATACGCGAAGAGACGCACCTGGCTGGGGAAGTAGATCTCGATGGCCTTGATGCCGATGTTCTGGGGACGGGAGGCCATGGTAGGCGAGCAATTGGCTTGTGCTGGTGAAGACGGGCGGCGGATTGTGGTGTTGAAGGAAGAGAAGGACGGCCGAGCGAAAAGGAGGCGGGCGTCTGGGCTTTTGGAGGGGTAGATAAGTTAGCGCATCGTCCCATGCTGGTATTTCGACCGTCTTTCACCGCCGTTTCCACATCTTTGTGGATTCGACGGGCCGTGCCCCAGTTTTCCCAGCATGCAGATTGTTGGGCTTTCGTGATGGGGGGTTGTGGTGGGCAGGGGCAAAAAACACACCTAGATGTCAGGGCGGTCAGCGAAGGCGACTTGGGGTCGGTGTCTTTGTTGGGGGCAGGATGGGGAAGACAAAGCAGGGCTGGTGAGGAGGGGAGGAGGCAAGGTTAAATACGTAGAAAAATCGCGGGGCCGCACACCTGACAGGGAACAATGTGGAGGACCGAGAAGACAATAGCAACCTCGCTACTTCGTACGTGGGCATCCAGACGGCGAAAGAAGGGTGGGCGGGAAAAGCCGAGAGTTGCTCGAGGGCCTGGTTTCAGCAAGTCGGCGCGCGTCAGAGGATGGAAGATGCCCACGTCGCTGCCGCCGAGTGGTTCGTCTCCGCTGTGGATTCTCCGACGACGCAATAAACCGCGAGGATCTAATCTCTCAGGTGGAGGTTGATGCAAGATTGATAAACAGATCTCCACTGGCACCCACAAACCTGTGGTCCCGTTGGTGGAACAGGCAGATGTTGTTGCACGGACAACGAGACAGGCACATGAGAACGCTGCATCAGTTTGAGTGCCATTTGGTCCTCTCTGTCCACAATATGTTTTTGTGGCAGAAAGCCCTTGGCGCTTTATCTCCTCTATCTCCAAATGGCCGTTTTGATCAAATTCTGTTCTTCAAAATTTGAAGAGCCAGGTTCAGTCTGCACATGCCTCCGACTTTCGCCGTCCCAACTTTTTCCTGCAAAAAGGGGAAGGATGGGACGAGAAGTGGCGACGCGAGAACCCTTATGTCCAGGGCCACACTTTCTGCGAGATCTCAAGGGTCCAGGGTTCAAGACACCCCCACAACGGACAATCGGCAGCAACATCCCATTGGCTGGAGGGGCTGCGCTGCTGCAGGAACTGGCCGGGCTCCCGCCTTTCTCAAAATGGCGCCCCGGCAGCGTGGCTGAGCAGCACTGACGAAGTCCACGAGCCGCATTTGGCTGTTGAGATGCTTTATTCTCCAACAACCTCCAACCTCGAATATGACCGTTTCGTCAACAATGGCTGCCAATCCCGCTTGTTTCAGCTCGTCTGGGGTAAGGTAGGGTGACATCCGGACAGTTGGTTCCTACAAGACTCACCCTGGAAGTTTAGCTCTATATGCGTCTAAGTAACAAGCTTGAGAGTACTAGCTTCAACACTAGGTGGCAGTAGATTTTTAAAGAATTGATTAAGTTGTGATGTAGCAATCTTTTTCTAACATCTGCACAACATGAATCCCAAACGCCTCCCAATGCAATTATGCAATCTAGGTACCATATCCGTACGTTCAACCAAAATCTGGCGATACCAACATCAAAACAGTTTCAAAACCTCCAACGCCGACATTACGTTTTCATGATCCGATATCCACCTCCCCAGCCGCTTCCCCGCCTCTTCCCCAGAATCCGCCCCTCACGGCGTGCCATACCCCGAGTCCGCACCCTGCGGGGTCTTCTGCACCTCGAACGCCGCCTCCTTCGCCTTGTCCGGGTCGACGGTGATGACGGAGACGGTGACGACAGGCTCCACCTTGACGTCGCAGCCGACGACCTCCTCCAGCTCGACAGGGGCGGCGGCATCGACAGCGGCAGCAGGGGCAGGGGCAGTGGCAGGCACCTCCGGCTTCTTCCGTTTCTTGGTCTTGTCCTTCTTCCTCTCCTCCTTCTCCTCCTCCTCTCGCCCCCACTCTCCCCGACGACCCCGATCCTGAATCCGACGCCTCACTCTCACTCTCATCCCCCTTCTTACCCGACGACTTCTTCCCCTTCTTCCCCCCCTTCTTCCTCTTCCTCTCCTCCTTCTTCCTCTCCTTCTTCTTCTTCTCCTCCTCCTCTTTCTTTTCCTCCTCTTCCTTCATCCTCCTCTCCTCCGCCTCCGTTTCTTTTCTTCTTCAGGGGTTGGCCGGGGGGTGGCGGATTTGAGGAGGAGGGTGGATTCGAGTTTGGAGAGGGCGTTGGAGGTGGTGGTGGTTGTGCCGTTGGGTTCGGAGTGGTCTGAAGAAGGGGGGGTGGTGGATTTGGTGGGTGCGTCGTCGCCCTCGAGCGGGGCGTAGATGGCGCGGAAGA